TTCGTTGATTCATTAGGGTCGCAGAGGCCCCCCACCCACTTTGGGGCGTCGCCACGCCATGCTATGTCAGGCTCCGCGTCCTCCGAATCGTGCTCCCGCTGCAGCGCTGGCCTCATTTCCGCGCTTCCGCTCGTTCCGAATCGTGCTCCCGCTGCAGCGCTGGCGACATTATTACCAACGCCATGCCACGGCACGGTTTTCGGTCCTTCCAAATAAGCTCCAAATCTAGAAAATGGCCTCCGAAGGAACCATCGGAAATGATTGCACATTCGCTGTCGACTCGTTTTGGGTCGCAGGAGCCCCTCCCCCACTTTGGGGCGTTGCCACGCCATGCTATGTCATGCTACGCGTTGGTCTTCCACACCATGTTATGCCATGTAATGTTATGCCAATACCACGACACCCGATTGTGCGAATAGACAAAGATTTACGCCATGGTGGGGGATGGGTGGGGGGGGTAGAACGTCAGATATGACGCGAGCGCACCTAGCTTGTCCTCATCCCCCTCTCCCTCCGCCTCCTTCTACTCCTCCTCCTCCTCCTCCTCCTCCTCCTCCTCCTCCTCCTCCTCCTCCTCCTCCTCCTCCTCCTCCCCCTCCTCCTCCTCCTCCTCCTCCCCCTTCTCCAGTCCTTTTCCTCATAAGCAACTCCTCCACGTCGCACCCCGAGGCCATTTCTTAGGGCGGGCCGGGCGTTCCGCCTGCTTGAGCCCGCACACCCCGCCCCAAGGCACGGCGAGGCCGCTCGTCGCCCTCGGGGGGGGGGGGGGGAGGGGCGGGGAAAGGGCGGGGCGCAACTGCTAACCAGCTCTTTAGCTGTCCTGAAGCTCGAGTTATCTTGAGAAAACCAACACCGCGTGACAAGATGACTCGAAACGGCCGATCCCGCCCGTGTGTTTTTTGGCAGTAAAAGTTACCCGATTGAGCTGAGATCAAAATGGCCGCGGCGTCGGCCGCGGCCGCTGCCGCGGCAGCTGCGCAGCGCGCAGCAGCCCTCCCCGTCGACGGCTGCAGCCGCCGCAACGCCGCCCGCGAAATCTCACGATGAAGGAAGACTGGAGGTTGCTGAGCGTGCTGGTCCCCCGCTAGGGCGGCGCCCCCCCCGGTGGCATCGGACACCCACCCTCCTGGCCAAGATCGCAAAAGCTGCCCTGGCCTCGCGACCACAACAGCCACTGTGAGCCCCCACCACCAGGGGTACGAAAGTGAGGCCCTGCGGCGCGCACAACTGGCGGTCGGTGTGCAGGCGTGGCCACTTGAATTCCCCGCGCCGCGGCCGCGCGGCAGAAGCGGCGGCGACGGGGTCTGCGCGCAACCCAGAATCGGCGGCGAAGTCCCAGGCCGCTGACGACCCCGTGGGCCGCCTGGGCAGGTAGACGTCAGCGGGAAGCCTGTCGCTGGCGCCCAAGTCTGGCCCGTTCTGCTCTCCGCTTGGAAGCGTTTTGTTGGCGGAGTGCGGCTGGAGGAAAGCTGGCCGTTCCAGTTCCGCCGCCCCGAAGTCTGCCGCTCGCGCGATGAAAGCCCCGCGGTTGTGGAGCGCACTGTGGCGTTTCGCCTGGTCGCCGCGGCAGGAGCAGACATGGCGCGGGCTAGCCACGCATCCATCACCTGTCCGCAGGCGGGGCAGACGTCCTCCTTGTCGGGGAGCTGGATTCGGAATCGCCGCTGGACCGCTACCCGGAACAGGCCGCGCTGAAAACGGGTGCCCGCGGCCTCGCAGAGCGGCGCCTGGCGGAGGGCGCTACTGGCGGGCGTTCGGGGCAGGCTGAATTTCGCCCGCGCGGCGACTGGGGGGCAAACCCTGAGGCTGACCACAGCCGCATCGTCGACGGCGTCGCTGGGTCGTTTCTGATTGCCGCGCTGCTCTCGGTCAAAAGCGACCGTGTCCCCATCGGGGTCGCGGGCGTCGTTGCACAGCAAGGCAGCCTGCGCGTCCTCCAGCGGCGTGTCCAAGAGCTCCTGCGCCGCAGAGACCCGATGCTTCGCGCGCAGACAGAAGGAGCCGTCTCGGACGGGCGCCCCGATGAGCTCAGTGCCGAAGCGGAACCCTGGTGGGAAGGCACTGAGGTCGACTGCGCTGTCGTTGCCGCCGGTCGGGGCCACTTCGGACTTCCCTGGCCCGGCGCTGAGCTGGAGTTCCATCAAAGCGAGGGCGGCGGCCACTTCGTAGAGGAAGTGCGCCACAGCGAGCCAATCGCCCGCCCAGTCGACCAGGCCAGGGAACGCGGGCCCGGTGGAAGCGCGTGCGCCCAGGCGGGGGATGGCGCAAGCGTTGGTCCTGACAGGCCAACCCTGGGCACTGTCGCGGTACAAAGAAAACCCAAGAAACTCAAAACGCGGCAGCAGGTAGGAGAGCGGGTCGGGCGACGGAGAGGAAAGGCGGAGAGACGGGCGCAGCAACTCGACAGCATCGCATCGCAGCAAATCGACTGTTCCAGCCACGACTGGGCCTCTTGGACGAACGCTAGAAGTGATCTTGACGGCTGCTCGCGTGGTCGACG